GAATGAATTGAGTCTCAAGTTATCAGGTCAACAATAGATTATTCATTGAGATGCCTTATTTATCCAGCAATTTTTTACTTATTTGTTGACTGAATGACAGAATGAATATCAATAAGAAGAAACACTTGAGACGGTTGTAAGTACTCAAAGAGAGGTTATTTTTCAATCGTAATCATGCAAATAGTCTTAGATTTTCCTTCCTTCACCTCTAAACCACACGAATTCGTATGACTTATCGATGTAATAGAAAGTGAAGAATTTAGCTGATTGGAGGTAGTCAGCAAGAAACCCTGTTGGACGTCGACATTGTGCTGGTTGGAACTCGAAAGCAACACTTACATACAGGCCTAAGGAAACGTATTTTTAGTTTCTAAGTTTTATCTTTTATAGATGAGGAGAAAGAAATGGAATTTATAGAATGTGGCTTGCACTGTACCGCGTGTTCGGTACTCCTCCATAGCTGAATGTACCTGCATTTCGGAATCGATATTACATATGTTGTGGTGCGCGCTACTTCTAAGTACTGTTTGACGCGAGTGAAAACCTAATGTCTGGCATCAGTAACTCTGTAATTTTCGTTAAATACAATTCGGTTTCCCTCACCTGTGTTCTCCTCCACTAAATTTGGTGTCGCCACCTGCACGAAGGAAGGAGCTCCCGTGGCCGAAGAAGTTTGAGGGCGGGGTGGGGCTGGTAGGTGTGAAGGGGCTCGGAGCGGAGTTGACGGTGCTGAGGACGCTGCGGGGAGGTGAGGCAAAGGCTGTACAAGACAGCTAGGACGGTGCCACCGGGAAGACGGCGCGGGGGACGGTCACGGAGCGAATAGTGACGGAGTTCGTCGGCCCAGTGGACAGGGAGGAGGCGCCGCAGAGGTTCCGGTTGGCGAAGTTGTCTGTCGATTGTGACCCGCTGGTGATGGCTGTGGAGCTCACGGTGTTGCTGCACCATGCGCTGCCGAGTATGTATAAGGAGTCGGGGGCACAGTTGTTGGCGTCGCAATTTATCGAGTGTGCCTGCCGCCGTGTTCCAGCAGCGGGAACTAGTAAACGCTACACATTGGATAGATACCGTACCCATTCCAGACCAGCGGGCAAGAACAATGACTGAAGTGAAGGTGATATTAAATGACCAGTGTTCCTGTTTTGAAAGTGACGAGTTTAAATCCCGTGTAAAGCAGTTTGGCATCAAGAGGATACGAACTACACCGCATCATCCGCAGATAAACGGACTTGCAGAGAGAAACAGCCGGACGTTAAAGGAATGGATATCATCTAAAGGAGGAGTTTAGGAGAAAGAGTTACCATTGATTTTGCTGATCCCAAAGTGGGACGGACCGTACGATATTACGGAGAGACGCGGCGCGGTTTACACGATCCGGAGAGTAAACAAGCAGAAGCGCGTGAATGCTAGTCAACTGCAGAGATGGTTTAAAGATTATCAAGTGTACGACTCACGAAAAACACCAGAGATGACAACGGTACGGCGATCAGAAAGACTACGAAAACAGCTTATTAAGAGGGGGGACGAGTGCAGTGGGCGCTTTAAGTAGTATATGATGCGAATGTAAACGTAATGTCCGGCAGCAGAAGAAGGGGGAAGATCAGGAAAGGAAGTGTGGGAACACAATGGAATTTGTATGAAACGCATGAATATTGCAATGTCAGACAATGGATCGATGATGGAATTTTAACTCAATTGATTCCATTCAATGTGTTTGTGGAGAGGGGATTCGTTCGTTGGCAGAAATGTGGTCACGAACTAGCTAGGACATTGAACGTTGAATTTTACCAACCAGTTAGCACATGTATAGTATTCACTGGAGCGTCGCTCAGCAGTTGCTTCTAAGGAAAGGAATGTCTGGAGATTGGAATGTACGACGCAATCAAACTGTATTTCAAACCAGGAGACATGGCAGTGAAGAAATCGTTTTAAGTGTTCACGGAGTAAACCGTCTTCCTATCTAAGTTTTTGATGTAGTGTACGACCAGTAGAACAAACATAAACAAACAGTTGGACATTATCCTAAAATTCGAATCCAAATTGTCATGGTGATTACTGATATTGTCAACTCATCCTCTGAGTAATATACTTCCTGCGCATTAAAAATATCATGATGGAAACTATATATCATTGAAAATGTATCGTGAATAATGATATTTATAACATATTCATCTTGTCGGACGAAACGCACAATAAATCTAGACCATAAACATGCCAATAATGAATATTCACTGATATCATTTAAAGTTGATTGTACGTATGGAAAGCAATAAATATGGTTTAATTCAAATGCCCAATACTCCTTAGTTTTCAGGTTATACCCTGATTGAGGTTACAATCTACATAATCAATATGAAAATTTCAAGTGCCTTTTGTGCATATATGCACTTGCTTGCTGTTTACATTGTGAGAGACAAGAAGAGTCGTAGAGGTTGTTGCCAAAATAAAATTATAAGCCTGGTGATACTTGGAATTGGCGAAACCTGACAGATGCAAGTTCAAAAAAAGCCATCCTCTGAAGCGATGCTATGATACTTAGTCTATGATGAAGAAATTTCTCATATGGACAAGGAGTCGCAGCGATGCTGCTCATAAAGCACAAAATCCACTTAAAGGATGTCAGTCTCAATAACCCAGAATCAACAAATGCTTTTTCAAAGCGAGAAAGGAGGGGATAACAGTTAACGTCATAGAACTCCGAATGATAAATTGGCCACAGTCTAATCCTTTACACACCTCTTGATAAATCTCTTATCTCCACGATTAACCTTCTCGTGTTTCATCATCTCACCGCGTCACTAAGGCAAACGATTGGAGTTCACGAAACCTGCTTCTTGGCCTCCTCAAAGCCTATTCTCATGTCGAGTATCTTTTACGAAATTGGACAAAGTGTAACCACAATCAGGACTTAAGTATCCCACGCAAACTATGTATGCTGCGTCTCCGAAACGCGCAAACTGTATCCTAGTAAAATCAATTATTTCATCCTAACTTATCTAGATAAAGTCCAGTTTGCTTTACACTGTGTATTTGCTGCTGCTTGTCGTAGCCAGACTGATGAAGGCATAGAACTATATCATAGTGCAGAACTAGCTCTCCTATACTGAATCGCAGTAGACAGTTGCTCATGCGCTGTCAAACTAAACAGGAAAGTAAGGACTCTTGAAGACAGGGACACTTGCCGTTGGCTCTTCATTGTCTCTGCCTACCACCTCACTAACTGCAGCTAGTATGAAGTAAAAGATTTGTTTAACATAAAGCTTACCAACCTTCTTTGAAATGTTAGTCCCTCTGATACTATATTAATGGCTGGTCACTTCAATGCTCAAGTAGGAAGACTGAAAGAAGCCGAAAGACATCTTAGAGGATCTTATGCTGTCGCAGCTGACCCAACAGGTAATGGCTAATGTCTGTCTCAGTCAAGGTTGGATCATCAAATATTTATAGCAAATACCAACTTTGACAACAAGAAAGGTCATCGTTTGACTTTGCAAACCACGAAGTCAACTCAACGATGAACCTTAATTCGACCACATAGCTATCAGCCATAGGTGGAGATGCTCAGTTTAAGACTGCCGCTTATTCTAGAGCACTTGCCTAGATTCAGATCATGCTCCACTGCGAGCGCGTATTTGCTTGCGTATGTCTCACTTAACGAAGGAAAGACGCTGCGAGGAAACGTTTTTGGGTTCTCCGTAATGATAGCAAACCAAGAATATATTTCAGGAACAACCAGTAAAATTATTTGGGCAGCTATTAAAGTGATGCTCACCCTGAGAGAGCTTGGAAAGGAATCAGAAATAACGCCATAACACCAGTAAAATCTGCTGGTATAGTTAGTCATAAGGTTGAGGAGAAACAGTGTATATTCCTAGCATCTACTGAATCGATGGATGCTCTGAAACACATCTTATTTGGCTCTGAACATGAGGAACAGGTCAGTTAGCACAAACACAGCCTGGTAATAGGCCTACGCAACGATCGTTGAAAGTGAAGGATAGAGAAGGCGAGAGAGAGAAAAAAGGCAGCGATACGTTACTGTAAACAACTATTCAGACCTTTCAAGCAAACAGGTATTGGAATACGACTGTCAGCTAGACTATCACAGAAATGGAGGAGACTTTTATTTAATCTCAATCCATGGGATTGGTTCGATGGTCAGAACTCTCTGAAGATTAGTCCAACTGGCCTTCAGCCACACTTAATTTTCTCAACATATTTGGTCAGCTTAAATGACTAGTAGGTGTAAGTCCTCTAAGTCATATAGGCAATCGAAGGCGAGAAGAAGCAGTGGATCCTGATAGATTAACACTTGAGGTTGTGCAGAATATTAAACGGGTTTTAGCAATTAGAGTAACCGAAAGTTTAGCAACAAATTGGTAAATCTATGTCATCACACTTCACTGGTCTCGGTCACTGACCGCAGCAGTCTCTATTGAAGGATACATGTACTCGAGAGAAAGTCAATGAAAAACGCTTTAACGAGATGTAAGATTCTAAGATATCTTGAAGCCTATCTAGAGCTCGTAAGCAGCTTGCTCATGTGAAGCAGACTTGTTTCAAACAGATCAAAAAATATTCACTCGACATTAGGTCCCACGACATAAACACGACGTAAAATATACAACAGACACCTGCCTAATGGAAA